GTTGTAAAGCAGCTGAGAAACCAGAACAAGTTACCCTCACGAACTTGAGTGCCTAGTGACTATGCTACAAAAAAACCAACTATACTCTGATAAAAAGTTAGAAAATGTTTTTCCCTCCCCCGTTTGTGGCGCCCCCCTTGACAGATGGTACCCTTAGTGTTTGCCTATACTGCCCATGCTACGGGCCGACCCTGATCCCAATCATGTGTACAAGGTTATTTTTTTAATATTTTTTGCAGCATGATGATTCAGTTTTTAGCACTGTTTCCTGGGTTCAATTCTCAGTTTGGACCTGAGGTCTTTCTGCATGCATTTTACTTGTTTTCCTCCTGTTTGCTGAGTTTTCCTGGGCACACTGATTTCCTCCCACAGACCAAAAACATGCAAACATGTGACATGTTAGGCTGCCTTCAGGCCCAGGCCTCCCATGTAAAACAGGTCTGTAGGCTCAAAGAGATTGGCCAGATAAAATAAAAAGGCAAATACTCAGTGGTAGGCAGCGCTAATCCAAAAATTAGCTCCATATTCTCTAAAACGCTTGTGAAAATATTTAGGTTCGCAACTTCAAAAGCACTTATGCCATAGAAAAATTAGCGGAAGCTAATTTTAAAGCACAAGTTCAATTTGACGCTTAGTAGCTGACAATCCATGTACAATACATGCACAACACTGCCAACTAGTGGTGGCTGAACCCTTTTACAACTGCCGATTGCTGGGGATGTGATTTCCTGAAACAGACCTTTAGCTCCTGGTGTAAAAATTAAAAAGTTGTTGAGGATTGCTAGTTCGGCTGCTTCTTTGTCTTTTTCTTTTGTTTGTTGTAGATTTTTCATTAAAGAAACATCAATAAAGTAATTTTAAAACTGTTTATTAGAAAAGTGAAGTGATGCATTCTGGGTACATGACGGATTTGAATTGTGACGGGAAACAAAAGCACAGAGTACAGGAAACTATCATCCCTTCAAAATAAGAGCTTGGATTTTAAAGTTTTCCATGTAGTTGCTCCAGTTGACCACTAGATGTCAGTCTTCATCAGTATAACATCTTTAAATCGTTTCTGAGTCTCTAACCCCGTTGCTTCGACCAATTACATCAAGTATTGAGCTCCAGCATTTAAACTTTATTTTTTTTAAGAAAGGAGCTCTGATTGTAAAGTAAAATAAATCAATACATACTAAATTTCAGTATGGATTACAAACATTTATTGTTTTTGCTATTGCCTTCCTGCTACATCAGCAGACACAAAGCATTGTGGGAAATCAGAACCATGACCCAAAGCAACAGTCAGCAGGATGTATACCTTCACAATAAGTGTGTTTATCTGGGAGGGGTGCTGTTGGATAGATCACGTGTTGTGATTCATTGACAGTCATACCTTCTGCTGTTCAAGATAATGATGACTGGTAGATAATTAGTTATTAGCAGTACTGCATTTTAATTTTAGAAAGCACAAATCTGCTTATGAATTATAAAAATTAGGAAGGCCGCTAAACCGCAAACAAAATATTCAGGTCCGCAATTAGTGGATTTGCGCTTTAGCGGACTGGTGCCCACCACTGCAAATAACATTTTAAAAACAAAAACCTTAAACAAGCAACAGGCCCAAATCAAACAGCAGCTGCTGAACTGAGAGCTCCTTATGACCGCTTTCTCTGCTTTCAGTTTGTTGTTGCATTGTTCATTAATTAACAATGACATAAACACATTAAGAGAACCCTGAAGTCCCTGTTGGTTGTTTTGTTTTATTTGGGGCAGTGGTAGTTAGACAGCGACAGGGGCGGGACTGAACATGTGGGGAAGAATCAATAACCAACAAAACTCAAAGAATTTGCTTGGAGTGCCCAAACCACTGACTAGTTCTGTTATAAAACCAAAAATATCAAATTGTAGGTGTCTTACCTCCACTTTCTCCACCACCTGTTTGCCAAAGGAGCAGACTTTTGTGGATGAGGTGATAATCATGTTCTCAGAGCTCTCATACTGGCTGGACACACCATAAAAAAAGCTGCTGTCATCCTGCAGGTTCACACTCAGGTCCGCCTTCAAGGAAAAAACAAAACAACAAACAGGATCAACTAAACAAAATGTGTTTTCAATCTTCTGTCCTGAGTTTCCCATGTCTGCAGATCATGTTGCATATTATGACATGCTTTCATAAGTTGTATTTGTTGTAGCAGGGCTCTGAAATCGTTCTCCAACTTTGATCTTTTTAATTATTTTACATTAAAACATGACTTCTTGAAAGTTTTTCTCCACTGCTTTAGAAACTGCTTTACCTGTTGTAAATAAATCAAGAACCTGTTTACTGGATGAATATAGGAGGGAGATATAAATTTACAGTTCAAGTGTGACATGCATGCTGTTTTCTCCAACAGGTTCAAACATTAAATATCATATACAAAAAGTGGTCTCAACCTGGTTTCGCTTTTTAGAAATTATTAGCAAAAAGCCATTATTAGAAACAAAATCACAAAGTTTAACGTTTGGTTTGGTGACATTTGTGTTCATTTTCCCTGAGTTCCACTCAGCTGGTTGTGTGCAGGAAGACAATTTAAGACATGAATGTTGGGAAAAAGGTTCATATTTAAAATCAAGCATTGCAAATTTAAATTAAGATGCCCTGAGTGTGCAGTCTTGCAAGAATAAGTCAGGATGGATGGAGATGTGTGAACTTTTATTTAAGATTTAAGGTTTTTATTTCAAAGGTCCTTCAAAGCTCAGCAGCAGAAGCATAAATAACACTGTCCTGATGCATCTCAGTAATCCAGGTAGAAAAAATCAAAAAGAAAAAATCAGTAGGTCCTCTGGATGGTTCTTCTTTAGTGAAACTTTTCGTCTCTCCTCCAAGAGACTTCTTCAGTCTGATGAGTTGAAACTCAGCCTTATAAGCTCCGCCTCCACATGGACAAACAGGTTAGTCACATGCAAAATAGGGCCATCGACTAACAATAGGGTTGATTGACTCTATTGTTCATAGAGGGTCATGTGACCCATCATCTGACCCGTGTCATGTCATGTGAATGTATTCTCTAAACATGACGTCCCAGTGGCTTTCAAAACCCCAAAACACGTTACGACAAAGATTAGTTCACCCCAAAGATCCAGTTCCCTGGAAAAATCAGAGTAACATAGTGTATGCTGTTAAGTGTCAGGAGGACTGTGATCAGTTATACATTG